ACAGTGTCTTTACAATAAGCGCTTTTGCTGCCTTTTGCAGTGCTCTAGAGCTGCACGATAAAAACGCATAAAAATTGACAATCACGCACACTGGAGGTCCGTGCGGCCCCACCATGCAAAACCTTCATCTCAGCCGACGCCCTTTTCCCCTGCATGCGGAAAGAGGCCAAAGCACAGCCAATATGAGTCAAAGTGTTTAGCTATAGCTGTTGGCCATTCCTACTGTTAGCGACCTGCAAGTTTAGCGCAAAAACGCATAATCGCGCTGGCAAGCCTGGTGCACTGCAGCCTGGGTTATTATCTGTTTATGACCACATCACAGATCGCTGGCCAGCATCTATCAGCAGAAACAGTAAAACACCAAAATGACAATTTCTCGACTCGTGAACACACATATCAATATAAACACACAGCCGCACATGCTGCCGTTGCCCCTTACTGTCTATTTTTTGACAAAAAGCCTTATGAGTTTGAACTGCTAATATCTTATCTCACGCATTTTGAGAACTTTACAAATATTTCTTTCTTTTTTAACAGAGGGACTACGCATTTGCTGTCGTTCTGTGTTTTTTGCGTTTCCTTGGGCGTTTAATAAATTTGGATTTGAAACACTGTTTAAAATATCCAATTTTACAGTTAGCAAGGAAAAGTTCGATGCGAGACAGCAGTACGGGTGCAGAAATCATTCAGAAAACTATTTGCTTAACAAACAATGACAATTCTTTCAAAGCGGTAAAAAAGAGTGCAAGTGAAATGCGTCTTCTCAATAATGGTAGTGAAGTGCTACCACCGGTTGATGTAAGTCAAGCTATGGAAGACACCAAACGTCATATTTTAAGCTTGAGGTGAGGGAAAATTTTCCATACTACTCAATTTGCATCTGATAGAACCTAAATTTTTTCCAGAACTTACGTCAGAGCTTAGGTCTATTTTAGGCAGCAGTAAAACACAGCATCTGAGTTGCACAGCTCATTTTTTTGCGTATTTGCTGTGCAGCGTTATAGCACTCCGATAGTCAGCAAATAAGCATGTTGTCGAAGGGTCGTCTGTATCTGTGTGTATGTGTGTTCGGAAGCGAGTGAACTTTGTCACCCGTTTTCAACTCAGCAACCAGCAAACCTTGGAGACTGGAATTTTGCTGGTATATTCCATCCCAAACGTCACCCTCCCATTTTAAAAACTTCGCTCGTACGC